CAATAAAAATTTGTTTTGCTTTAAAAATATTAAATTTAAAAAAAAATACACACTCATGCTGCTAGTTTCTTATCAGACGGTAATAGACTACAGGTTTCTTTTTTACTTCTCAACTATCAGTTCCAAAAATAAATATCAAAATATTTTGAAATATGTCGAGATGTCGTCTGTGTTTTATAATTGCATATTAATGGTTGTTTTTTTTTTTTTGCTTCTTGTTCTGATTTTTAATTATAAGAAAAAAATTTAAATTAAGAAACATTTTTATTGATAAGAAAGTTCAAGTGATGTATTTCATGGGTGTGATATTATTTTTTCAAATCAAGAACACAAGCAATTTTTTTATAGCGGTCTTAGTTGTGTTTACGTCTGCAAAAATCTCCTGTTTTTTTTTTTTTTCATTCAATGCCCTAGAACTTTGGAATTTTATATTTTACACAAACAATTATTTAGTCTAGCAATCTGATTTAAATTAAGTATTTTTAAATTTGTATTAAGAATAAAATGAAAATAATTAAATTTTTATATTTAAGATTATGAGCCATTTTAAACCAATATACATACATACATACCCCCTACAAGATCCATTCAATGATTTGACAAATTTTTGCCTCAAACAAAGCCGATTAAATTGAAATTGTGTCAAATCTACTTTAAATAGAAAAAAACTTTTCTATAGAAAACCCCCTCGCTAAGACACACCACGACTCTTCCAGGAAAAACTTACATTGTACAGTAATGAGTTAAAAAGCTAATAAACCTCTTTTCACAGCTTTCTCATTAATATTTTAATCTATTATTTTAACACGTTGATGACATTGGAGGCAAATACTTATCACGCTCGCTTAGAAAAAGCGATTTAAAGAAGTACTTGTAATCTTGCTTACAAAGAAAGTAGTTGTCATTGAAAAGTATGTTGTTGAGTAAGTACAAGTCATTACCAGATATTTGCTGTGTTGATTCGGATCATAACAGGTTTAACTCACGCATGAAAAAAACAGGTTTGATTGGTGAGAAGTTAAATATATCCTGACAGTCACAAAATCTACGTAGCTTCGATATTCCTAGGATGAATTGGTGATATGGAGACCACAGTCTCTCGTGAATAGTCCCGTTAGTACTCTAAGATCACTTTTGTTGAGCGTTAACAACTTTTGGGATTTAGACCTGTGGCGAGCCAATTCCTATTCGACCCTCGCTTCGCGTATCCTTGTGGAATACCAAAGAATGGTTAAGGGCCACTAAGTGCTAGGCAGTCCGCCCGTTTGTTGCCAGAGTGACCTCGATGGTGGGATATCCAACATAATGTTAATTTGTTGTAAACACAACTGAGTTCGTTCAGTGATGGCACACAGTCTATTACAACACCCAACCTAACTTCATATGACAATAAAGCACAGATGAAGATGCTTTAATAAGAATATTCAAAGGTGGAATGAGAAGAATAACCCCAATGGCATATGTAGGAAATGTTCTCATGGCCCCCGTTATAGAAACACAAACGAGACGTTAAAGTTTGTCCAGAGAAGCCCGAGTGGTGGGCTGCTTTAACTTTTTCCACCTGGCTAAAATATCATAAGTCAGAATGGGCTTTATTATGATATTAAAAGTCCATGAGAGAATATTCGATTTAGACTACTACTAGCAAATACTACTAAATAGACTCTGACAGGCATATAATGCTGTAATGGCTCTTTTGATCGTACTGGATACTTGTAAGTTTCAATTTAGGGTCTTGATGAGCATGATATCTAAGTATTTGACTTCCTCAGAGAACCTAATAATAGACCAGTTTAGAGTCGACTCAATAAGTTTTAGAGACGTAGATCTCTAGTAAATAGTACACAATATGTACGGAAACCTTAATCTTTAAGTTTTTCAAGTAGGCTATCGGTGACCAGGGTCCATAATAATGCCGTTAATACGCCTCCTTGGGGACATCCTCTAGAGGCCCATATTGTTTCTAATTACTTGTAAGGCATTATGGTAAGTACTTGCTTGTAATGATATTATCGTGTTAAAATAATGACATATAAAGCTATTGTGTATGCAAATTTCAGCATTTTAACTCCTTACTTGGTAGCGAAAGTATTGCAGTACGAGATTTGCCGTTTCTACAGTTTTTCATTATGGTGACTAGTGTCCGTAATGATGGCGTTAATACGCCTCCTTGGGGACATCCTCTAGAGGCCCATATTGTTTTCGATTTTTCACAAAGGTCAAACTTAATGACTCTTAATATTAGCATTTCCAGTGTCCAATAGGAGGAATTCATTTTCTACTTAATGCAAGTTTTATCGCATCATATGACGTATTGTCGAAGGCTCCTAGTATGTCTATTTATTTGGAACCCAGAACCTTCTAAATTCTTATCGTAACATGATGAATAGCAGTCACCGTCGATTTGCCGATTTGCCGTTTCTCAAAGATATTTCTATCGAAAATTGTCAAGCAAATACACTTTTCGATAGAAAATGTTTATACGAAAACACTTTTCTAAATAATAAATAATCTCGCAAAAACTCTTTTCTATTGAAAACTGCCTCGTGAAGATACTTTTCTTGGGAAGTTTGGGCCGCAAAATAAAAACTTTTCTTTTAAAAACTTCCTCGCAAAAAGCATTTTTCTATACAAAAATTCTTCGCAACCAAACTTGTTTGATTAAAATGGCTTCGCAAAGCCATTTTTCTTAATTTGAAATAGAAAGCTTCAACGCAAAGACAAAAAATTTAAAATATCTTCGGTTTTTTATATAATTTTTATAATATAAACTGTTTGCATTTAAATGGGTTTTTAAAAATATATTAATTTTAGAAAATATGAAATTGTTTACTTATTAAATTTAAAAAATATATACTACATTTGACAACGATCAAACACTAAAAATACCTTAAATGCTTCACTCATTTTAAAGTATCTTCTTCTTTTAATTTGTTTTATTTGACTTTAAAGTATTTCTGAATGATATATAAAACAAAAAAAAATTAAATAAAAAAAATGCGAAAATTCAATACAACAAATAAATAAATAAATAAATAATATAACCTTCAATATACGCTAAAATAACCAGAACATTGAACTCGCAAATTATTCATTTCGATACAATAAATTGCTCAACAAAAAAATATTCCGGTGGCTTTTTTTTTAAAGTACAATAAAATTGAAAAAACAACAACAATCAATTTAAATCTAAAGCATAGCTTAAAAATGCATTTTAGAACTTTCTTAAATGAATATTTAATATTTTAGATTTGTTTAAATAAAATAAGGATTTGTTTAAACAAATTAAGGTACAGAGGTTTTATTTTGTTTTTAAAATTATAAATGACAAACAAAATACTTGAAAAATTAAAAAAATATATATATATTTAACCTTCAAATGCCAAAATTCCTGAAATTGTTCAAAGGTGTTTAGCTGTATATATCATTTTTATATTCTTAATAAATTTCTATGTAATATGTATGTAAATATTCTTTAAATTTTAGACAATTTTAATTTAATTTTTTTTTTTAAATTCTTAACACTTTATTATCAGGTTTTTTATTTGTCTGCTTAACAGGAAATAAATGTGCTTGCTGTTCTATTGGTTTCATTTGAAATTCTTAAATACTCGATCAAGGTCATTCAAGGCCGACAGTTAGTTTATGACGAAATCAATTCGTCACTAATTTATGTGTTGAAAAATGTGTAGAAAAAATAAATAAATAAATATTTAGTTAAAATTAGCATTAGCATATTTAGTATTATTTGCTTTGGACAGAAGAGCAAAGAAATATCTTTTAGAAAACTTTTAAACAAATTAAATTAATTTTAAATAAAATTTCTGTAAAAAAAAACTTTCACAAAATATTAAAAAAATCTATAAATATTAAAATTTTTTATTTGAAAGAAACTTAAATCGAAGTCATTTTACGGGACAATTTTCTATAGAGAAGTGCTTTTGCAAGGCATAGAAGCGTGTTTTCAAACCAATTTTCCACAAAAGTTTTTTATAGAAAAGTTCACGAGTAATTTTCTATGCAAAATTCAGTTTTCCATAGAAAAGTTTACGATCAGTTTCTACAGAAAAGTTCTCCATTAGTTTTGTATATGAAAGTTCATGATCAGTTTTCTATATAAAAGTTCACGATCAGTTTTTTACATAAAAGTTCACGATCAGTTTTCTACAGAAAATTTCACAATCAGTTTTCTATATAAAAGTTTACAATCAGTTTTCCTCAGAGAAATTCACTTTCAGTTTTCTACAGAAAAGTTCAATATCAGTTTCCCACAGAAACCTTTACGATCACTTTTCTATAGAAAAGTTCACGATTAGTTTCCTAAAGAAAAATTCACGATTAGTTTTCTGCAGAAGTTCACGATTCAATAGAAAAGTTAACAATCAGTTTTCTATAGAAAAGTTCACCATCAGTTTTCTAAAGAAAAGTTCACGATTAGTTTTCTACAGAAAGATTCATGATCAGTTTTCTACAGAAAAGTTCACGATCAGTTTTCTACATTATAGTTTTCGATCAGTTTTCTACAGAAAAGTTCACGGCCAGTTTTCTATAGAAAAGATATTATCTGTTTTCCACAGAAAAAATTCACTTTCAGTTTTCTACTGTAAAGTTCACTATCAGTTTTTTACAGAAAAGTTCCTACAGATAAGATTCTTACATATAATGATAGTGTTCTACAGAAAAATTTAAGCTCTGTTTTCTAGAAAAAACGTTCATGATCAGTTTTTAATAGAAAAGTTCACGATCAGGTTTCTAGAGAAATATTCACGATCAGTTTTCTATAGAAAACCACAGAAAAGTTTTAGTTTTCTATATAAAAGTTAACAATCTCTTTTCAACAGAAAACTTCACAATAAATTTTCTATAGTAGGGCCTTGTAAGAATAACCGTCAGTTTTAGCAGTTTCTATATCGTTTTTTCGGCCTGATTTTGTACAAATGAAATTACTTTTTTACTGTGTCTTTTAAAAAAAATGTTGTTTTAATTTTCAAGTAAAGGAAATAGCAATTTATGTCAATTTTCAATAATTTATAAAATATTTAAACAACTAGAAACAATAACAATAAAAATATCAAGAATCCGAAATCTCAAGTCCAAGACCTAATCATGAATTACATTATTGGCTTAAAGATTTGTATACTAATATTTCTGATCAAAACATCAGAGGTTTTCGGAATATATAAATGTTATGAATGTCGAAGCTCACCCACGGATGACAGTTGCAAAACCATAATTTATAAACAAAAGAAATATTTAAGACAGTGTGGTCCAAACACATTTGCGTGTTTTACACTTGAAGTACAATCACGTAAGTTTAAATTTCATTCTGTAATTTTGACCCTGTCTCCCTTAATCAGAATTCAATTTCATAGCTATTTTACTATATTAATTATTAGGTGATATTCTTGGAAACTATATAGTTCGTAAAGGATGCTTTCATGGACAAAACATACTTACTGATGGGCGTGAAATCGAACCACTTGGACACTATCATTATTGTGCTTACGATTCCTGCAACTATGCACATGAACTATTTGATTTTGGAAATTCTGCCAGGAGATCTGATCGAAAATGTTTTATGCATTTTATTATTATTATTATTTTATTATGTTTTGTTTTGTTGTATTTGATTTGAAATGTTGATAAATATACAGCAATGAGTGTAATTATAGAGATTTTATAGGGGCATGGGTAATTATAGACCAAAACTTTCTAAAATTAGTACAAAACCCCAGTTGCTATAGAAAAATTTATTAAGGTGTAGGATTTCAGTTTGTCTATCTATCTATCTATCTATCTATCTATCTATCTATCTATCTATCTATCCATAGACCAAAACTTTCTAAAATTAGTACAAAACCCCAGTTGCTATAGAAAAATTTATTAAGGTGTAGGATTTCAGTTTGTCTATCTATCTATCTATCTATCTATCTATCTATCTATCTATCTATCTATCTATCTATCTATCTATCTATCTATCTATCTATCTATCTATCTATCTATCTATCTATCTATCTATCTATCTATCTATCTATCTATCTATCTATCTATCTATCTATCTATCTATCTATCTATCTATCTATCTATCTATCTATCTATCTATCTATCTATCTATCTATCTATCTATCTATCTATCTATCTATCTATCTATCTATCTATCTATCTATCTATCTATCTATCTATCTATCTATCTATCTATCTATCTATCTATCTATATATCTATCTATCTATCTATCTATCTATCTATCTATCTATCTATCTATCTATCTATATATATATCTATCTATCTATCTATCTATCTATCTATCTATCTATCTATCTATCTATCTATCTATCTATCTATCTATCTATCTATCTATCTATCTATCTATCTATCTATCTATCTATCTATCTATCTATAATCTATCTATATCTATCTATCTATATCTATCTATATCTATCTATCTATCTATCTATCTATCTATCTATCTATCTATCTATCTATCTATCTATCTATCTATCTATCTATCTATCTATCTATCTATCTATCTATCTATCTATCTATCTATCTATCTATCTATCTATCTATCTATCTATCTATCTATCTATCTATCTATCTATCTATCTATCTATCTATCTATCTATCTATCTATCTATCTATCTATCTATCTATCTATCTATCTATCTATCTATCTATCTATCTATCTATCTATCTATCTATCTATCTATCTATCTATCTATCTATCTATCTATCTATCTATCTATCTATCTATCTATCTATATATATATATATCTATCTATCTATCTATCTATCTATCTATCTATCTATCTATCTATCTATCTATCTATCTATCTATCTATCTATCTATCTATCTATCTATCTATCTATCTATCTATCTATCTATCTATCTATCTATCTATCTATCTATCTATCTATCTATAAAATCAGGAACTACTATAGAACAAGATTTCGAATACATGTTTCAGGGATGGCGAGAAGTGTTCCTGTTTAAAATTTGTCTGACAGATGGCGTCGAATTTTTAATTTTCAGTCAATTATACCCAAACTGCTAAACCCCTTATTTTAAAATTTGAGGGGTACATAGGTATTTGATACGTATAGAGTCCACATGTCTAATCAAGGGTCTGCAACGCGGACCGGACGCCTCTAGTATACAATAAATTCATTAAAATAGACAATATTTCGATAGGGTTCATTGAAAGCTTCCAAATGTTGAAACATTTGACCTTTGGCCCTCACAGTTTATGGGTGAAGACCCCCACATATTGTGAACATTGTTGAATAAAACCTCGGAGGTATATTTTGTATTATCTCGACTATAATAAAAAACAAAATATTTTATTTAAAATATACAACAGCAAAGAATTAAACGTTTTATGTAAAATATTATTCAAAAAAAATCGTTTTTGCCGAAATCCTCTGAATTCAAATGGTGGGTACTGCTGGTTTTATTCCCTAATCTATTATCCATAAGACCCTCTAAGAACTTATAATACTTTTAAAAATGGTTTAACAAAGTTGCCTAAAAACTGAAAATGGAGTTTTGAAGCGGGCCGTGTAAAAAATCAGACTTTTTGACCAGGTTTATGTCGGTTCCTTTTCAACAAAATGGAAACCAGTTATCCCACCCCAAATTATATAAAAATAAAATCACTTTTGGTAAGAATTTAGTTTAATTAAAATGTATTTTTTTTATTTTTTAAACCTTTAATAAAAGTTTTTTGTTTTGTTTTAAACATATTTTTTTAATTTTAAATAAATATAAATTTATTTTTTATCACTTTGTATTGTTCACAATCAGTTTTGTTTTCTTTTTTTTTTAACAATTTTTATACTTAAAATCTAAAAATAAAGTTTTACAATGTTTTCTTTATAAAAAAAAAGCTTTTGTTTTTTTTTTTTAATTTTAGTAAAAATTATTGTCAAGGAAGACTTGTAGATTTTATTGTTAATAAAATAACTTTTGTTGTTGTTTTTTTAACATAATACTAATATTTGTTTTGTTTTTTTTTTTGTTTGTATGAGGTAGTTGTTTCATTAAATTAATGAATAATACATTAAATTGTTTAATGATAATAATGAAAAGGGAGGGGGAAGACGACTGAGTCAGCGAGTGGCGGCAGAGTGTATATTCCGTTGGAAACAAACTGCTTTTAAATCTCTATTTTAGCAATATACACTCTTAAGGGGGTATAGTAAAGAGACTTTTGTTGTAAGTTAAGAGCTCACTTGCTGGGTTGTTGTTTGTTGAGAACATGAACTTATGATTTTCAACATTTTCCCTTTTAGCGAAAATGCTTAAGTGTGGATGTACGTGTGAGAGACAATGAAGAGTAAAAACTTTTCTTTTGTTTTTTTAGGCTTTTTTATAAAAAAAATTTTTGCCTTTGTAGTTTTTTTTTTTTTTTTGAAAGAGTGCGTGTAAGTGTATGTAAGAGCGGCGTGTTTTTTTCCAGTTCTTTACAAGTTTCTGTTGTGTTGAGCACGCCTGTCATGTTTACCTTGATGACGTTTTTTTTTTGTTAGACTGCCCCAAAATGACCATGGTTGTGGCGACCCTCATGCATGATTTCTCATGATCAGCCATTATGCCAGTCATTTCCGTTATGCAGCGAGTGGGAGAGTGAGTTGAGAAGAAGTCTTGGTGTCCTCTACAAACACTTTGGTTCTAAGCAAACGTTAACTTCCATTAACATCACCACACACACCTCTCACCAGGGACGCCATGGTTGTTCTTCTTCTTTGATTTGTTTTTTGGTAACCAAAGCCAAAGGCTGTGGATTGTTGTGTTGCTGTAGAGCGGGGGCATGATGTATTACTGAGGGTTTGTAATCCATGGCTTCATGAGAGTTGGCTGGACTGGGAGGTGCAAAGTGCAGCATGGCTGAGTTGCTGGAGTAGGATTGCTCGTAGGAGCTGTGAGATGACGCAGAGCCGGTGGAGGCAGTACGAGAGGGAATGGGCACCAGCATGGGTGGATGTTGAACACCATTCATATTGGCTTGGGGTTGTTGTTGTTGTTGAGGCAATACCAAAGCAATGGTGCCATTAGCCAATTTGGTGGGTATGACTTGCAAACCATTGGGCAGGAAGTAACCATGAGGAGTTTGTTGTATCTGAGAGCTCATGATGTATTGATGTTGTTGCTGAACATGATGATGATCCTGTTCGGGTGAGGAGGGGGGTGAGGGCAAGATTTGTCCATGTAATTGTTGTACAGACATTGAGGCGGCATTAGCTTGACGTTGATGATGATGCAATTCGGTTTTGACACCATTAATGCAGTTCTGTAAGTGCTGCAAGAGACGGCGTTTGACGGCAGGCTCTAGACCAGGGAAACGGCTGACTTCATTGGCACAGTCGGCAAAACCAGCCTTGAATTTGTTAATGACTTTGGGATCGGCAGCCTGTTGCATGGCGGCCTGTTGACGTTGCAATTCTTGCAAATGTTTAACGGTCTTTTCCAAGATATCAGCTTTTTCCAATTTGGAATGACGAGCAGGCTAAAAAGAGAAGAAACAAGAAATAAATTATTAGTTACGGGTTTTATAAAAAAGGTTTTGAGATTTTGATTTTTTTTTTAATTTTTAAAAATGTTTTAATTTGATAAAAAAAAATACTTACGTCTTTTTTGGTGGCATCCAAGATTAAGGTTTTCAATTCATTTAAACAATTGTTAATGCGGGCACGTCGTCTTTTTTCCATAATAGGTTTGTTAGACTGTAAATAGATAGAAAAAAACAATAAATTAATATTTTGTTTAAATTTAGTTTTTAATAAAAATATAAAAATATCTCAAATATATTTAGTCATATTTTCAAAAATAAGAAATCTAATTGACCTCATACCAGGCGATAAGTTTTGTAAGACGCACACATCACCAAAATATTTGGCGTCATCAACAAGTAACAAAATGCGTGCGTGTGTGTTTTTTTTTTTTTTTTTTGTTTAGTGTAAAAATATTTTGGTCGAAACAACTAAAAAAACGGCTAAATTAAGCATCACACGCATACACACATTGAAAGCATTATTTCTTGTGTCTTTCGTATAAAAATAACTCAAAGGTGATGCTACAAATTATATTTTTGTTTTTAAATAAATTCTAAAATCGTTTGCTGTTAAGGAGGGAGGGGGGGTGTGTTGAAGTGGTAGAGAGGGGCGGTGGGTTTTCAATTGTTCGAATGAGGGTGCTTAATGGCAAAACGGTATACAACGAGGACGACGGCGGCACACGCTAAATAACCAAACGATCGCTCTTTAATTGGTAAGCAAAACAATTATGGCTCGGGGCCAATATGAAAATTTGTTGATCGCGTGCGATATTTTTGTACATTGAATGTTTTTAGCAAAAATTTATAAATAGCAAAACGCCGTGTGATTTCAACAACAACAAAAGAAATAGCCAATATAACTATGTGGTCCATTTTAAAAAAAGATATTACACAAATAGCGGCATGTGATTTAGCAGCATTAGACATTTGAAATTTCACAAAAAAAAAAAAAAAAAAAAAAAAAACGAAAAGGTTCTTATGAAAAGAACAAGGTCGTTGGTTGCCAAAAACAAATTTTTGTTAAATTTTTTTTTGGCAATATTTTAAGGCAACCATATAGGGAGATTTTGTGCGCCTCGTTATTATTTGTAGAAAAAAATAAAAATAAATTCAGAAAGAAAATAATGAGTAGGTTTTTTTTTTTTTTTGTTGATCTTCTTGGCATGCATATGCCAAAATAATAAAAGTGAAGTCATCAGAAATATAAACTTGGCGCGTAGTATTTTATGACCAAAAATATGAACCAATTACATTTAAACTAAATTGTCATGGAATGCGTTGGCTAAATATTGTGGACGTTTGTTTGGCTTAATAAAATAATGAATGAATGAATGAATGTAGTTTTAAGTATGAATCAACTGTTTGATGTTGGGGTTTAACAAAAAGCACACACGCTTCATTTACTACTTTTTATGGCAGTGGTGCTGCCCCACACATCAGAATGACGCCAAAAACGTTTGATTAAAAACTTAAAACAAACAAAAGTTGTTTTACTTTTTTTGTGGAAGTGCGTTGGCCGCTATTACTGCCGCCGCAGTTTTAGCCAATTTTGGGTTCAACCACTTACACACAGCCGCCACTCACTCACTTCACTATAAGATCATATTCATTCATTCATTAAATCATTTATTATATTTTAGTTGATTTGAGTTTTCAAAAAAAAATTATTATTGTGATGTGATATTGCCTTGTATGACTGCGGCTGGCTGGCTTGTGGGGGAAAACTAACTACCCACAGATGTTCCAAAATGCGAAACTCTTAAGCGGATACAAGTTACAGCCACCACAGACGCCACATTTGGTGTTGTTTGATTTTGTAAACTTAATGGCAAGCTGTGGGGGTGCTATTAACTTGTATTAAGAATTTCTTGTCATTAACTAACTAATTAAGTTGGAGTTGACCATTTTTGTTTTCTTTTTAAAATACTTACACGACGATCGCTTTTAGCAGGTGTCTCCTTGGGAGGATGTGAAATAGGTGCTCCAATTACATTGGCTGTCATTGTGGGTCCACAAACACCGGTAACCATTTTATTTAATTTTTTGTGGGATGTTTTAGTTTTTTTAATAAAAATTTATAAAACACTTTTTTGTTTTATTTATTTGGTTTTTTTAATAAGTTTTTTTTATAAATTTCTTAATAATTTTGTTTGTAATCACACTTCACTTTGTTTGAGTTTATTTTGTTTAGTTATTTGTTTGTTTTGTTTATTTCCGTTTAAGTTTAACGTAATTTCACGTTTAAATCTTTTTTTAAAAATTTGTCTTTTTCTAAAATTTTTTATAATTCTCTTAAAACCGTTCCGTTGTTAATTTTCAGCGTGTGTTGCTTCTTCAACGATCAACGAGCGTATGAAACAAGTGTTCTATAAGCAGCTTGATAAAAAGTCTTTAATAAACCATTCAATTTTAGTATGAGTGTAATAAATGTTTAGTGAGTAGGTTAAATTTTCTGCTGCTCACAGCTGACGTTGTTGGAGAGCGAGATAGAGAGAGATTGCAGATAGTTGTAGTTAACGGATGTGCAAAAATAATACCGACACACCAAAAAAAAATCCCGTGTGATTTAAGAAATTTATACACCAGGTTTTAAAAATACTATATAGAGGGCGCAATGGATGTAGAGAGTATGTGAGTAGAGACGTAAGAGTTCTTTATCGTTTGGCTTGTAGCAGACGACTGACGATTGATCGACAGGTTCCTCGGGTAAATCGTTTTAACGAGACGCAACGAATACTAGCAAAAAGCCACACGACCATATTAAAAATACCACACAAATGCCGACATACGAGCATATATGCGACGGTGTCTAACATATACACACTCTCTCACACATGTGTTTGTTACTGTTGTTTTTGTTTGATGTTAGCTGCTGGCTACCTGGTTACCTAAGCACCTTAGTAAACTGTAAAATACAAGCAAAGGGACGGACGGATGGATGACAAGACAGACAGACATGCAAGCACACACACACACACTCCTACATATGTTTGTACTTCCCAATTCGCATGCAGTACTCACTACACTCTACTCTACAGCAACAACAAATAACTACTCAAAAATCAAATCAAACAAACGAGGGGTCGTCAAATATTCTAAATTGTTGTATTTGTAAACTGTTAGTCGGTCGTTTGGCCTTACATTGCTGTTGTAAGGGTGATAATAGTTGTGGAGAATATTATTTATTAGTAGTGATAAATTAATAGATAATTTCTCTTCTAATCCTATGACAAACATTATCTGGAGTAATCACATCTTAAAACCCACATACTTACTACATACTTATTTATAAAGAGATATCTCCAACAGCAGTTTTTTTATGGGTATTAAAGTGTTGTACCTCCCAACATAATAATAGTACAATTTATAAGGTTTTGAACTCATCTCTCTGTGTGTGATTCATACAAAAGCGAACGTGACTACTTCAGACCCCTAAACTCTACATACAAACAACAACAGCTATAGCAAGTAAAAAAAATAATGTATGCCCCCTTAGCAATAAACTTTGAATTGGTTTATTTTACTATTATTACTATTATCAGAAATGAAAAATAAAAACTGGCGATAACACAATAAAGACTTCATAGACGTCGTCAAATACAAATAATACAGGCACTTAGGCTAGTGCAACAACAACAACAAAATACACCCAACTTGTTACCACCATTAGTCGGCGCACACGAGGCTAAACTAATCATTTCAAAACTTTTTTTGTAAACACTTTTTATTGTACATTTTGATAATCTTTTTTGTTGTTTGTTTTCGTAGTTGTTGGGATTTATTAATTTTGGAGAAGTCAATAACTTTATGAAAACCATTTTGTTCGTATAATCATCAATAGCCGAACCGGATGAGTAGACAAAGAGTCGTTTTATGTGTTGTCAGAAGTCATAAAATCCTCCAACCAACTTCCGTTTCACAGATACACTTGTGACGTCGAAAAAAAAACACTTGTGAACTTTAGACTTTGTCGGTTGTATTTCCCAAGCGAATGTTTTATGCTTTATGGTTTATAGCTTTTATATAAAATATTTAATATTGTTAATTTCTTGAGGGGGATGTTAACCTTTACCTTTCTCCGGAATATTAATAAAATAACCTTTTTTCATAATCCATTTACATTTTAATAAAGTTTACCATACTTCATATGTACATCATCATTATACTATATTTAGCTATTTCTTTGAATTCTTGGCAAATGTTACAGATTTTATTATTTATTTATTGAAAACCCCCTTAAACATGGCCCGTTTGGAATATATATATTCTTCTTGTAACGGCAAAATAGTAACGCCATCTTAAATCTTTGACACTTGTCTTTAACAATCTAATATTTACAATAATTTAAGAAATATTACAAAGAACTCGAGATAGTTATTGGAAACCCCCCTTCAACATTGATCATTGACAAAAAAGAGTATCAAGATTTCAAATCTTCGCTACACTTGACTTTAGCAATCTAATCAATATTTCCAATAATTTAAGAAAATTTTTGAATTATTTAAAACATTGGCAAATTGTTCCATATTTTCCCTGGAACTAAACTTTTTTCATAGAGAGAATGATAGGATATAGACTCGTTTTCATTGTGTTCATACATTATTCTGTTTGTTTTCGTGGCTATTTTCTTATGATCAAAGTCTTCTCTAGTTTGAACTTTGGTCAATGCGATATATGATCGTTTTATAGGAAGTTCACTCCTAAGTAATATTGGTCCATTTTGTAACTCCTTTGTAAAACTTTGTTACTTCTTCATAATCTTTCTTGATATCACTGTCAAACAATAGGATCGTGAATTTGATCTTTAACGATTTATATTGGTCATAAAGATTTGGATCCCAATCACCGCATACGTGATTAAATAAGATTGTGATTGTATAGAAGACATATTTCGATAGCTAACTTAATCTCAAAGGTAGTAAGTACATTTCTGGTTCGATATCGAATCAGAGTGGCCATCATTTCTATACAGAAAATTACGTATCATTTTCTTGATCAGGAATAAGAAAAAGATATGTCAAATCTATTGACAAAAGGTAGATTGATATGTCAAAAGGTAGACTGATATGTCAAATAAAACGTGATAGCGATTAAAGGGAGTTTTTCGGGAGATATTCGTTTTTTGGTCCCTATTATAATGAGATCAAAATATGCGGCGTGACCTCCTTTATCATTTATTTCATAAACTTCAAATGAAACCTAACATCTTCAGGAGTTGAAAATTAGAACGCTATAATCGTACTTATATATATCAAACAACATTCTGGGAATTTCAACACAGTTTAGAATTACTAGACAATTGGAGTTTTTAATAAAAAATTCGGATTTTCAGTATTATATACGAATCAGATTCTAGAGTAATTTTTATATTGGAAATATTTTTTTCAGGAAATTGGATTTTTAATTAAAATTTGTTTTTTTTAATTGATATGGAATGGGAATTTCTGTATAAAGTCGAATTTTTTAAATTTTATATTGAAAGATCGAATTTTAATGAAAATTTGAATCATTAAACAAATTCGGAAGTTTTAACAAAAAATCAAAGAGTTGAAAACGATAATAAAATTAAACTAATTAGTTTCGTAATGGGCGATATCTTGAATACCAATTTGCCGATTTTAAAGGATTTCTGTTCAGAATGTCAAAATTAAGATGAAAACTTGTTTTGCAACAGAAAATTATTTAAAATAACGGAGTTTAAAGCTATTTTTGGAAAAGATAGAGTTTGAATTCAGAAATATTTCTTTTTTAACATAGAGAACTTTCAAATATTAATATTTAGCCATGAAAATGAGATATAGCAACTATTGAATATAGTCTCTCTATATATTGTTTGTAATAAATCAGATTTTTAGTAAAAAAAATCGGAATTATAGTACTAAACAGCATTTTAGTTTCGTTCTTATTGTTGTTTCAAACTTTGGATGCTTCTGAATAAAGGCACAGAATATAACAGAGATTATTCCGAAATCGATAGATTGGACCTTCAGAAGGCATAATAAGTATTATAAATGAAGATGACTTCGCGCTATTATATAGTCTCAAATACATGTCGAAAACCGGGGGTTTACAAACTTTAGGTAAAAATATTCACATACATGCATATGTATATCAATAACCGTACAGGTCAGTTTTATAAAAGGAGTATTTTAATATACTCTTGTCATTTCAGCTAGTCCTTTTTACTATACAATATTTAAGTTCTCGAATATTGCCATAACTCCAATATCTAAAACACCATTTTGAATTCTATATTAAACTCTCAACTCAATGCTTTTTGCAACCTTCCAATCAATCCCGAAATCACAACTTAATCATTCATTTACCGTCGCCAATGATTTCTAAATTATTTAAATTCTGATGACTCCACTTCTAAAAAAAAGCAACAACATACGAGTTTAGTTAGAAAAAAATATTTGTTTTCGTTATAAATATTTAAATAAAAAGATACTGAATGCGTGATTTATTATAATTTAAACAGAAGCCGTCAACTGTTGATTGTCTGATGTGTTTGTTGTACATACATTTATGACGATGACGGCCTTTAATTGTTTAATGGTAATTACGAGCGTGTATGACTTCTAGATTTGTTAACTTAATTCTTACTTACGGGTACGACAGACGACTGACTGACTACTTGTTTATTTTATATTTAGATTAGTCACCTCAACTTTCGATTAAGCAGTTTTTTTGTTTTTGTTTTTGGTTTCTAAACAAAAATGTATCATCAAGATCGTTTGTGACAAGTATGTGTATGATACGTTACGTGTCATGACACGTAACTATTTATGTAGCATATTTGTTCATATTGAAAAGCATTGACGTTTTAATTATGGCAGAATAATGTCTGTTCGTCATGTCGGTTTTTAGAATTTAATTTCACATTTTATTTTGTTTTATTGCTTGTTTGACCCACAGTGAAGAGGGTTTCGAATTGTTAACAAATATTTATTCATTAAATTTTCAAAAATTTCACGTAGTGTTCCATTTGTTCGTTTTGTTCTTTGCATTTTGAATTTTTTGTTAATTTGTCGCCAAGTTTGAAATAAATGTGTGAAGGTCGTCGTGTAGTAGTATAGTATATTGGATACAACAATCAAATTTTGATAAGTCAACACCAACAACAATTATACTATATTTTTTATTAATTATATTTGGTTCTTTGTTGCTATATTTGCTATTTGCGGTTTTTCTATTAGTTTTATTAAGCTTTAACATTTTCTATTCTAACTCATTTTCAAAAAAAATGACGTTATTTCCCTTTAATTTTTCTTTATCTGCGGTTTAATTTTCCCACGTTGCGTTATTAAATAATTAAAGGAATTTCATAAAATTGTGCGGAAAACTAATCAAAGATGAGTCATTAGTAAGTGTTAAGTTTATACGTTTCTTTTAAAACATGATTCGATATTATATTTGTGCATGTTAATAGATTTCTTACGATATGCGAAAGAAGGGGATTTCCAGATTAAAACTCTTTGGTATTTTCTAGAATTTGAAATTAATTTTTACTACAACCTGACGCATTTTGATTCAAATATCGGTGGTAATTATATTGAAATTAAAAATGACAAATTGGCATGCAGTGGCTTTTCCCACTTTAATGTGTGTGATGAAGAAATTTCTGAATTAATCACTGAACTTGGACAAGGTGAGTTATTCTAGGTGATTTACCAGG